TGCCATGATCCTATTGCTGAAAGAACTGAGGCACCATGGGCACTGGTTTGTAACGATAAGTTTTGAGAGCAGGGTGTGCGTTTTGTGGACTCCTCGTTTGCGCGCACCTAGCCCTTGTGAGGTAGCGAGCCGCGCAGCACAAGTAGATTCCACTCCGTTGTCGTCAACACACACATGATCGCACCAGTACGGTTTAGTGATGTGCTCCTCCCCCTCCTCCTCATTCACCTCCTCCGATGCATCATTCCAATGCGTCGCTGCACTGCGCAAGATGGCGGGGTCGATGTTGGTCCACTGATGCCATTCCTCCGTCCCCCATGTTAAGATGTGTAGGTCTGACCTCCTCCTCTCCCACCATCCTCTCATGTTTTCATCTGTTTGCGCAAGTTGTTCTAAGTATTCCATGTATGGTTTAGCCATTGGGGTCGAATCTTTACCAATCCAGTCGCCGTTTAGTAGTCTTCTTTTGTTATGTAGTCGGTCCATCGTAGAGTCGCCAAAGATTGCCGCAACCACATTAGCATATTCTGCGGGATACAGTGCCCATTTCTGGTACCACTTGAGCCTGCGAGTGCGTAATGCAACTGCCGATCTTTCTAACCTCCACCATTTAAACACTTGTTTTGTGCTTTTGCACCCTGTGTCGCCTGCTTCTGTAGTCCAGGGCATTGCTCCTCTGGCGAGAGTACGAAGATACTTCCCAAATAACGCGTCCAGTGCATTGGCGCTGGCTGCTGGTAGGACGAGGGCTGCGAGGCCGCCACGGCCTGCTCCGAATACAAATGCCGTAAACATCATCCTTTTAACTGCAAAGGCTGTTTTTGACGACCACAATGTCCCCCCTTGCCTCCACGCAAGGCGCATGGCAGCGCATCTCCTTTGTTTTTCGCCTGAGAGCCCTTGGTCGGACGGAAGGTACGGTCCTAGCACACGCATCTCTCTGAGAGGTAACCCCTTTTATTTCTTTGCTCCTTCTTATCTCCCTCGTGCTCGCGTGGCTGCCTCGGCCTCGCAAGCTGATGAGGTGGTTCGTTTTCCCAGCGTTCAGTTTCCAGCCGCCTTTGGCAATAGTTTGTTCCAGCGCTGCCGTCGCCCCATTGAGGTGCTCCGCTATTGTTGTAGCACTTGCTGCTGGTAGCATTGCATGGGTTTTGGTGTTATCATCCATAAATGTGTTGAGGGCCAGGTCGCACACTCTGCCAGTGATAGGGTGCGGCGTGTCGTGCAGCCGTTGTCGAGGGTCCTGTCGCTCCTGGGTGTTCCACTTTTCCACGTAGATGTTGTATCCATCGCTGAATTGTCTTGGCGCCGTAGTAAATCCCATCTGTGACCCTGTAGGTGTTGCCATTGTCGTCTCCCCTTCTGCTGTATCCATGGTGAGGGTCGTGCAACCGATCGCATTCACTGCACGTGGCTTGTCCCATTCGTCGGCTTGTTTAAAGGCAACTGCCTGCAGTAGAGACTTGCGTGCGCTGGCGAAAGCGTTGGAGCAATCGTAGTTGGTGAACACAGTGCTATATCCATGCTGTTCTGCCTTCCACTTTGTCGTCATAATAGTAGCGATCGAGTTTTCTCTGCACCTATGGGGGACTCCTCCTTGGGCCCAGGGGGGGTGCTGCTGGGGCTCTCCTCTTTCGTGGGTCCCTGCGAACCAAGACATGCCCGTGCTGCAATATGCATGCATCACTCTTTTCCCCTGGATACTATCCTTCCCGTTCCCCTTGTCTGCATCGAATGCCTTGGATCGGTGCCAGTCCAGGGGTGTAGTCTGCGTCATGCGGCATTTCACAAGCACCTCAGTGAGTCTGTCGTGGAATAACCTGTTGCTGCCGTCTGCCGCCACTTCAGTACCTAGTCCTGCATACTGTCCCCTTCCAACTGTGTAGTTCACCACATCGTTTTCTTGCGTAGCCAGGCCCTCTCTAACACCTGGTCGTCCTCCGCCCCATCCCATTCTTGCTAGCAGTTGCCGCCCCCTTCGAAAACTGTATGCTGTACTCAACTTCTCCAGCTCCTCTTCGTCGTTCCTTTTCTCAGCCTCTCTGATTGCCCTAGCTTCTCTTCGCTTGCTAAGTTCGTCTGGGCTGCTGAGGTTGATCTGCGGGTCGAGTAAGAGCAAGGTGGCTTCTACTGGCAATCCCCATTCTGGCCACGCTCTCCTCTTGCCTGCTCTCTTGCTGTACTGCAACATGCTCCTCCTGTCCTGCGCTACTCTCGCCATAAGGTCGTGATCGCATGGTAGTGGCATTTGGTCGGCATAGTACTCCTCATGCTCCTGTAGTTGTTGCTGCAGCGAGATCGGGACAGCTCCTAATCCACCTTGGGAGGGGTCATTACTTAGTTCCTGCCCCCACTTGTTGTTATCCCAGTGTGTCTTGGGTGAGAAGTAGTACCTCTTTTTTGGTCCTCTGCCGTTCATCTGGTACTGGATTCGCAGCCGGTGCATTTCTGCAAAGTCGCTCCTCTCATGTGCCTCCCAGATCTCCTCCACTAGCCGCTTCTTCCTCTGCTTCTCGTGCGTTTCCCTGATCTGCTTTAATACTGCCGTGACTTCCTTCAGCTGCTCTCTGATGCTCTCCTGCTCCTCGTCTGTTACCTCGGGCCCTAGCTTGGCTATGATGTCTCTTCGTCTGCCCAGGAGTTGTTGCCTGCGTTGCTTGAGGAATTGCGTCGAGGCGTCTGGCTGTTGTTGTGTCTGCCCAAAGGTTTGTCCTAGTGCTGTCCTGACTGCTGTGGAGTAGAGGTGCCAAGAGCGATCGGGCGTCGGTGCTGCTACTGCTTCCTCCCAGTCCTCCGTACTTATTGCACCTAGCTCTTGATCGACTGCTCGTAGCCACTCCTCTCTCTTCCTGCCCTTCCTCACGCATGCCATAAGTGCATCCCTGTCCAAGCGTAGTCGTGGTGGTGGCCGCGCTCGTGCGAAGTGCCTCATGTTCGGGTCAAGGATGAGTCCGACTGGTACGTGGTCTCGAAGTCCTCGGGACCTGATGGTCTGCAGGCGCTTCCCTGCCGTGTGGAGGGCCAAACAACGCTTAACTAGGTACAGGGCTCCTGCTGGGATCGCTATATGGTCGATTCGCGAGTTCCCCCTCTTGCGTGCCGTAGTAGGTGGGCCCTATGTCGTACCTAGTTGTAACTACTGAAAATGTGCTGCTAGTGCAGAGTTCTCTGAACATTCTCCCGTTTTCGTTTTCCAGCCTTCGCTCGATTTCCCCGACGCAGCTGTCCATACTCGCCTGCACTATGCCGTCCGAGTCGCGGTGCAGTCCCATGTCACTGTTGAGGTCCCCTCCTATCACTATCATTGTCCTGACTCCTAGCGCGTCCGTGGTGTGCTCTATCCAATTCGTCACGCGCTTGCCAATCTCGACATAGTTCTTGAGGTGGGTGGGGGCGTCGTAAACTGGGAAAAATGCGTAGTCTTGCCATGGGGTGTGCAATTTAATGCCTGCTACTCGTCCCTGGAGCTGCGTTGGTGGATGATAGACAGTTCTGAGGCTGGTCTGCGGGATCAGCCTGCTAACTAGGATAGTAATTCCGCAAGTTTTCGTGATAAATCTTCCCTTGCGTGCACCAAATCGTAAACACCAGTGGTTTGGGAGTCGGGTTTTTTTTGCTGGTTCTGGTCCACACCATTCGGCACTGCCGCAGATCATAATGACGTCCCACTGTTTGAGTTCCAAGCTGATGTCTGTAAGTCTCTCGATTGTCCCCGCTGACAATGGGTTGTACACAGCAATGCGCATGGAAACAGAGCGGTACGCGGGTGCCCCCCCCTCACCTGGCCATCTCGGTTAGGAGGCGTAGTCGTGCAAAGGTGTAAAATGGGTGCTTTCGGTAAGTCGATCGCTCCCCCTTAACCCTTTAAGCCGACTAGGAGGAGGAGGAGGAGGAGGAGGAGGAGGAGGAGGAGGAGGAGGAGGAGGAGAAGCAGCACCAGCAGCATGAGGGGGGAGGGATGGAACTCTGGGAGTTCTCTGGCTCTCTTCGTGTGGTTCTGCTCATCGAATTCGTCCGAGGCCCCGCGGTGGAGCGGCAGGGCGAGCACAGCTGGCGGCGCGCAGGTGGGGCCAGGCGGCGGCGGCGGCCTCCTCGGAGGGCCGGGTGGGCCTCTTGGGGGGCCCCTCGCCGCCTTCGCGAACGGCCCTCTGGGGAGCCCCCGCCCTGCCGAGAAGCCGCCTCGCGCCATCGCTCGGACGTCCATTCCCTGTGTTTTTTTCGGTTTCGTGCGTGGTTTTTTCGCCAAATGATCGAGGATGCTCCTCGATGGTCCTCGCCGAAGAAAAAATGCACACGTCCGAGCGATGTCCAGGCCTGGCTGATTGGGAGCCCCGCCCCCCTTCTGCGCGGCACCTGCCAGAAGGCGGAGGACGGCGAGCCTCTCACAGAGGGGGGGGGGGGAAGAGGAGGAGCCCCCCACAGAGAGACGTCCGGCATGCACGGGAGCCACCGCGAAGCGCTGACGAACTCCCGGGAACCATCGTGCCGGCCCAGCTTTCCCCGCAGGGAGGCTGCCTACGGGAGGCTCCGCTGGCAGCGACAGCCGGCTCATCACGCTAATCCTCATCCTCGTTCGTCCTCCTTCTCCTCCTGCTCCTCCTCCGCGTCCTCCCACTCGTCGTCATGTTCCACCTCAAGCGCGGGCTCGCGGACCGAGGGTAGCGCAAGTGGAGACTAGAGTACTTCAGCCACCAACGCGACGGGGCTGGATCCTCCTCCATGTCGTCCTCGCCATCTTTGCCGCGGTCCTCCTGTCTCCTCCCCCTCTCCTTCCTCCTCCTCATCCTCCTCCTCCGCTTCCCCCTCCTACTCCTCCTCTGCATGTCGCATCGATCCACATTCGCGAGAACTGGCGCAAAGACGCTGAGAAGAATAGGAGAGCAGCGAGGCCCAAACTCAAACCGCAAAGACTTACAACTCGGCCAAGCCAGATTGACATCGAACTCGCGGGCTCGAGACCCAGGAACTCGAGACCCCCTGGCGGGAAACATGACGCTATCCTCGGAAGTCTTGGCGGACTTCAACTTCTGGAAAGAAACCAGCGCGAGGTACTCCGTGTACTGAGCGTTCCTCAGCATGGGGGAAGCGGGTCCCGAAGGAAACGGGTCCTGGATCCCGGGGTCTCCCCCCAGGACCAGATATTCATCCTGAGCCGTCTTCTGTCACTCCGGGGGCCCGTGGGAGGCCCCATGTTTGAGATCCCCTTTGCAACGGACACACGAGCCCGACTCTAGAGGCCTCCTAGATGGAGTCCGAATGGATGGACTCCGAGGATCGCGCCGCATCGGCATCGGCGATACATCGCAGATACATCGGCAATGCATCGGCAACGTCGGCGATGCATCGGCGCCGTCGCCGTGGAGAAAATCGAGCTCAGCATGGAGCCGCATCGGCGATGCATCGGCGATACGGCGCGATCCTCCGACCTCCTCTACTCGGACCCCATCCTAGGAGGCCTACGAAAACCGAACCTGTTTCCCCCATAGTGAGCTCCCCAAGTCGCGCGTGAACTCGTCGTGCATTTCGCCGAGGATGCCCAAGATGCGCCCGCTCCTCGGCAGAGGCGCGCACCGGGGGCGGGACGCTCGTCGTCGTCCTCCTCCTCCTCCTCAGCGGACTCCTGCTCCTAATTCTCACCCTCCTGATCCACATCATCGGCCCCCTCCTCCTCCTCCTCCTCCTCCTCCTCCTTCTCCTCCTCCTCCTCCTCCTCCTCCTCCTCTTCTTCGGCGGCCTCCTCCGCCTCCTCCTCCTTGTCCTCGGCCTCCTCCTCCTTTTCGTCCTCATCATCCTCCTCCTCCACCACCACCACCATCATCATCATCATCATCATCATCAGCAGCATCATCATCACCATCAGCATCAGGATCATGATCATCACCATCGTCATCATCATCAGCATCATCATCAACATCACGATCACCATCACCATCACCATCACCATCACCATCATCATCATCATCAAAATCATCATCATCATCATCATCATCATCATCATCGTCATCACACCCACCAACAAAACAAAATCATTACCACCACCACCAGCACCATCACCGTTATCATTAACATCATCAGCAGCAACATCATCAACATCGTCATCGTCATCGCTACCGTTCACATCGACATCATCACTACCATCAGCATCACCAGTATCGTGATCATCATCATACGCATCGCCATCGCCATCATAATCACCACGAGCATCACCTTCATCATCATCATCATCACCACCACCATCATCACTAACACCAACATGATCATGTCCACCCGCATCATCACCATCAGCCATGATCATCATCAGCAGCATCATCATCACAATCCATCAGCGTCACCAGCATCATCACCATCAGCATCATCGTTACCATTATCATCACCAGCAGCATCAGCATCACCATCAACATCATCACCATCATCGTCATCATCAAGATCATCAGCATCATCATCTTCATCATCACCATCAACATCAACATCATCATCCGCAGCATCATCACCATCAGCATCAACATAATCATAATCATCAGCAGCATCAGCATCAACATAATCATCATTACCATCACCATCATCATCACCACCACTACCATCACAACAACATCAACATGAACACCATCCATGACCATTCACTACCAGCATCATCACCATCATTATCATAACCATCAGCATCCTAATCATCATTACCAGCATCATCGTCATCATCGTTATCATCATCGGTATCAGCATCATCCAAATCGTCAACACCATCACGATCACCATCACCATGATGATGCTGATGATCACCCTCATCATCATCATCATCATCATCATCATCACCATTATCACCCTCGTAAAAATATAAAAACAGCCCTAATCATGAAGGCCATCATCATGACCATCATCGTCCGCATCGTCACCGTCAACCATAATGATCACCACAACCAGCATGATCACCATCACCCACCATCATGGGCCTCCTCCTCCTCGGCTCCCCTCGCCGCCCAGTGGTGGCGGCGCGCAGAGGGAGGTGGGGGGAGGGGGAAAGACTTCATAGACGGAGGCTGCTTCTCAGAAGGCGCGCGCCTTGCATCTCTAGACAAGGCGAGCGCCTTCCAAGAAGCACGGGTGCTTCTCGGAAGCCTTCCCCCCTCCCCCTACCACCCTCTGCGCGTGGCTGATGATAGAACCCGATACGGCTGCACCCACACTTTGTAAGTCCTCGGGCGCCAAGCGGTCCAAGACAGTCAGACGCCAGTCAAGCAAGCGGCGGAGTGCACCGGAAGCGAATTGAGACACGAGGGCGACAGGCAACAGAGCGCGAGGGTGAAGAGGGACGAGCCCGCTCAGGCCATGAAAGCCGGAACGAGGATGCCGCAGCAGATCTTGTAGCTGCGTCCGAGCAGCATACACCCGCTGCACTCACACACTCAGCTCCCCGATCATAGGAAGCGGCAGCCCTCCTCGAAATCAAGCGCATGGTTTTATCCAGCCCCCCTTCCCCGAATTTTGATGTTCACCGACGCGCGCAACGCGGCCCGCGGGGCCCGAACCCCAAAAGATGCAGTCGCCAGTTTCGGCGCGAACATTGGACTTGGGGTCCGGGAGCGTCGCCACGTTGCGGGGAAAACACTTGCGTTTGATGTCGAGGAAGGATGTCGAAAACTTGCCGGGCACAACGAAAAAAAATACCAGCAGCGCTGTGTCCTGAGCGCCCGGGGAGGGATCAAGACTGCCCAAGCGGCCCAAGAAGGCCCCAGGATGCTCCGCTGAGACCCCCAAGAAGACCAAGACGGGCCATCGGCGGCTCAAGATGGCCGCACGGTGGGGCAACCGGCTCCCTCGACGGGCCCAGGCCAGAAGAGGACCTTCGGGAGGTCCCGGAGAAGCAACCATCACTCCTTGCCCGAAGGCTGTCCTACAATTTTTGGACGCTCGCCTTCTCGGTCTTCCGCGCCTCCAAGATGGCCCAAGAGGCCCCCCTGATCGCCCCAATGTGGCTGGCAAGGCGCCCGAGAGGCCCCACATATAGGCCTCGGGAAAAAAGCGCGAGCACGCATGCCACATTCATCGGTCAACGCCTCCCCCTTCCCCCAATGTTCAAAGTTGGCTGTGGGTTTGATGAGTTGCATTTCGACGCAGTCACCCCCGCGCGTGCCAACTTTCAATTTGGGGGAGAGGGGGAGTGTCTACTAATTGTTTCCCCCTACCGTAGCTCAAAATGGCCCCGAGACGTCCCAAGATGGCCCCGGAAGAGCTCCAAACAGCTAACGGGAGCCCCAACACGGCCCAACAGGGCCTCCAGCCCGCCAGAGGAGACACCCGTGGCCGTCGCAGAGGGGCCCAAGACGAATCAACAGGCCCCCCTCATGCAGCTTCGCGGTGGCGTCGAGAGAAACCCAGAACGGGCACACTCGCAACGGCGACGGTCAGAGAGTCAATATACGCGTGTACATATAACACGTCAACAATTACACAAATACGTACGTACCTACGTATGTACGTACGTTCGTACGTGAAGACACACATCCATACGTACATTCATACATACATACAAGCCGACAGACATAGATCAGACAGACACACACATACATAAATGAATACATAAATACATACATACATACATACATGCATACACACAAACATACATACATACCCACAACTATCCACATGCAAACATACGTACATACATACATCGATCATAATATGTTCAATGAGATCGTATTAAGTTAGGTTGCGTTACATTAAATTACAACGCATGAAATCTTATTCGATTGCATTACATACATACATACATTCAAGCACATAATCTTGCATCCCCTTATAATGCATTACAAACATACATGACTTTCATTATATTACACATATAGCAGTACACTGCATTACACTACATTACATTACACTACATTACTTCGCATTACATTAGATTAAGCTCCATTGCAGTACCTATCGACCTACCTACCTACATATATGCAGAACTGCATACACACATTACTACATACATACATGCATGCATACATGCATGCAAGGCCACCTAGCTACATATACACATACATACAGTATACACACCTACGTACACACGCATATGCATGTATATATGCATACGTATATACAAAGATACATGTGCATATGAACATAGACACATACATGCATATATACATATATACATGCATGTATATGATCATACATACGCATAGTCACACACACACACACTTATATACACGTTAAGAAAGACACTTACGCACACATACGGACATGCATGCATGCATACATACATACGTACACACATACTCTTAGGACGTCTCGTGACCATCTGGGCCGTCTTGGGGGCCACTTGGGGCGGTCTGTAGGCCCTAGTGGACAAAGCTGTGTCTTTCGTCGACTGTGTGATACCCATATGGGAACTGTCTTGGGGCCCCTCTTGGGCTCTGGGGCCCCTCTTGAGCGGTCTTGAGCCCTCCCTCTGTGGTCGAGGGAACATCGCGGAAATTGCTTTGACCTCAGGAAAGACTCCTCACTCACACTCCCCTCATGAGCCAGGCGAACGTACAAACGATCTTGAACACGGCCGCTACTCCTGACACAACCGGGCGGTGGATGGTCTGGGCAAGATGCTTGTTATCCGTCTTGCGAGGCAGGCCACGGTAAAATGATTGGAGCAAGACGGTGCCTGAAAAGTTGCTTGCTGAAAACGTAAGTCCGCTGGTTGAGGAAGTTCGAATGCCAGCAGGTTGGTGGCATCTCATAGAATCTCCTGAAAAAATGACACTTCTGGCAACTCCGAGAATGGTTCTGTTTGAGCAAAAGCTTCCCACGCGGCAAAATGCTGTGTTTTTGTATGGGCCTCGAAGCCTTTCCGGTCGACGTACTGCTCGTGGAAATGAAACACATTCGGCACGTTCTCGTCCTCGCCGAAGAGATACTCTAGCGCCATCGGCTCCGTTTCGAGTGTGCCGCGCTGGTTGTTGGCGATGCAGCCTAAGAACTCTTCCCGCCTCTCGGGCTTGATACCCATTCGCACATTCAAGCAATAGCGACCTTTGCAGTCAACACTCGCTTTGCTCGGAACGCGGCGCTCGGCAAAGAATACAACCTCCGGGGACTTGGTGAAGGGGTCGCTGGCTGCAAACTTTTCCCAGACGGCGAAGTGCGGCGACTGCGCATGGGCATTGAACCCATCGCGCCCATCGTACTGCTCATGGAAGTGAAACGTGTTTGGAACTGACACATCCTCGCCAAACAGATATTCCTTTGCCAACTCCTCAGTCTCAAGGGTGCCTTTCTGATTCTTACGGATGCAATCCAAAAACTCTTGCCTCCGCTCAGGCTTCACATATAGGCTGACATTCAAAGCATACGTCAGCTGCAGAGAGCTGGGCCATATGGGTCCTAATATGCTTGCGACAAAAAACAAAAACCAGGCAAGCACACGCCTGGCGTTTGTTGGCCTGCACCAGAGACCAAAACGGTATGCCATTGGTCTGAACAGGAGACTTTGAACGACACACCCAACACTGAGGGCAACAGTGCTAGAGCCGAATGGCTTGAGAAACAGGTGTGATCACGACAGTGAAGGAGATGATGCACACCGGCGCAGCATGCACAACGCGCAGAAGGTGATCGCAATAGTGAAGAAGATTAGGATGACCCTGTGCCCTGTACTGCGTGGCATCTGCTTTATATTATCACGCTTATTTGGCAGCACTCTCCGAAGATAGTGTTCAAGCACCGCAATCAATGTAGCAAACATGTCACCATCCTCCTCCCTCCGATGTATCATACTCCCTCGACTGCACCCACGTCCAAACTATACCGCATCCTTCTAATCATCTTCTGTTACCTCATAATGTTTTGGATGCTGGACCCGCCAAGTCCCGTCTTCCTTCTGCCAGCCTCCACCCCCGCAATCCGCCTCCTCTTCCTTCTTCTCCTCCGCACCCTGCCCCCTTACCTCTCCGACTGATCCCTTGTTACTCCCTCCTTGTGGTGGCGAGCAAGGGAGGGAAGCGAGAAGGGGCGGGCCTTCTCAGAAGACTCAAACAGGCCTAGTTTTCGAAGTCTTCCCCGAAGACACAGGAAACTTCTCAGAAGGCGCGAGGGCCTCTGAGAAGTCCCGCCGCCTTCTGGGAAGCTCACTTCCCCCCCTCGCTCCCTGCCGATCCTTTTCTCACATCCATCCTGCTTCTGGCAGCGAATTTTTCTCCTCGTCATCCACGCTCTGTCATCTCACCCCCTTCCTCCCTCGGTGATTGACCAAAAGAGTTTCACTAACCCTTTGGGAGGCGACCTTAGTAAAGAGGGCCAACCATTAGGGATAGGATGTCTTTTCTGTAGATGTGTAAGGCCAAACAGCCCACGATTATCATCCCTAATGCGAAGACGGGGCCCTAAGTGAGGCCACGTCTTTATCGTGCTTTTATACTTCGGGGTTCGTTGATCTCGATGACTCGGGTCGTCGAGGAAGGCTACCGCCGGCCAGGGGGGGAAGAGCGAGGGCAGCGGAAGCCGGAAAAGCCGAGAGGAGAGGGGGGGATGCCCGGGGCGAAGGAGAGGAGAGGAGGGAATGAAGGAGGGAGGTATAGGAGGGACGGGAGTGACACATGGAGTCCCTAGAAGAAGAAAACAAAAACATAAACATAAACTTTTGGCGCTCCGCGCGGATTTCTTGGATCCGCGCTGGGCACCCCCCTGGCAGCGCCTCCGGCGCCGTCCTTGGCGAGCTCCGCGCGCCAGGGAGGGGGGTCCAGCGCAGATCCAAGAAATCCGCGCGAAGTGCCAAAAGTTTACGTTTATGGCGTTTTTTCGTCTTCGACTCCCACTCCCGCTCGGTCGTGTCCGACCATCCTCATCCCTCATATTCTCGCACTCCTCCTTCATCCTCGTCCCCCTCATGCGCCTCCGCCCATCTATTCCTGCTCGTCCACTTTCACCCCGCCTCCACTTGTTCTCCTCCTTCCTCCATCCTTCCCTCCTCCTCATCTCCCTCCTCTTCGTCCTCGTCCTCCTCCTCTTCCCCCACCCCCCTTCTCCCTCGGATTGCAGGGGGGGAGGTCAGAGGGGGTGGGGGGGCGGAGGGGCAAATAGCGAGGTGAGGGGGCGAGGAGTGAGGAGGTTTGAAGAGAGGGGGGGCGAGGACAGGGGACTCAGGGGGATGCGTGGGCGGAGCGAGGGAACGAAGGGAAAGAGGGGCTGGGCGGGCACCCAGACTGGATGTGCGGATGCGCCAGGCTCCCAGCACGGACCTGGCGCCGCGGCGCGTGCTTTCTCTCCGACAGCTCCGGGCCCCGCTCGGGCAGCGCAGGGCCGGGCCTGCTTCGCGCCCCCGGCACGGACGAAGGCGTGGCCTCCGGGAGTCTCCGGAGGTCTGGGGCCCAACAGAGGCACAGAAAACAGCTTCGGTCCTCCTGCTCCCGCCCCCGGGAGAGGGGAAGCGACTGCCGGGCGGACGGGGAGGGATGAGCAGCGGCGTCTGCACCTCCGCCCGTGGGTGGCACAGCGGAGCCACCTCCGCACCCGCCCGGGAGAGGGCCTCCCACGAAGTGCGCTTAGAGCGAACGGCTGACGGAAGACTAGCAGCACCCCTCTTCGAGCACAGAGCCGAAACATCTGAGCAAGACGGCCTCCGCCAGGAATGGTCTGAGCACGCCCCATGCGAGCCGCAAGAGGTTCTCGGAGCCTTCTCCGGCGGGCCCGTGCGCCAGCCGGGGCGCCTCGCCGCTGCTCGACGTCCCCCCCCCCCCGCAACGCAAAGCGTCAGAGGCCATCCGCACGCGCGCCTGGGCGAGGCCGGGGCACGGCACCGCGAATCCACCCGGCATGCGAAGAGGGGGGAGGGAGGAGAGGGAGGGCCACGGAGAGGGGAGGGAGGAGAGGGAGGAGAGGGGGGAGAGGGAGGAGAGGGAGGGCCGCGGAGAGAGGGGAGCCGAGCGCGGGGGCAGCCTCACGCAGCTGGGCTGCGGCGAGCGCGCAGGGGGGCCCCGTGGGAGGAGCAGGGATCGCCCTGCAAGCCTCCCACCGATGCGTGCCGATCATCGCGGCCGCGCCAGGGAGCGCGCCTGGCGGCGATGCGCCTCCTCCTTCTCCACATCCCTACTCCTTTTGCAGAGATGGTCGCCAGGTAAGACGACCCAAGGCTGCCCTGCCAGCTCCCGCGCTGCCGCCCCCGCGCTGCATCACGCCGCTAGGGTCAGTCAAGAGAGGGTCATGCCACCACCGCTCGCGATGCAGGTCCATGCGCCTGGCCCACCCACTGCCAAGGAAGTCCAGGTTGCTCAGAGTGTGATGCGGCCAGGGTTGAGAATCCTGGCGGTCTTGGCGTTGTTACGAGTCACCTGGTGGCGCACAGGCAGGCCCTTCTCCAGGCGGATTGCCCTCTCATGTTTGACCGACTTCAGCAACTTAATGTTTGCAGAGATCATCCTGCGCAGCGGGTTCTCCACCGTCCACTTGGCGTACTCGTCGACGAGCCTGAGCTCCTCGTCCTCGCTGAGCTGGAAGGTCCGCGTGTTCGGGTCGACTCCAACCTGGTGGCAAATGTGCTTGCAGGACTTGATGCCCGTGCCGAATATCGCGCAATTCAGCGCGTAAGCGATGGGCTTGTTACGGGGGATCTCCTTGCCGGCGATGCGCAGGCGCCGCAGCACCGTGGCGCGAGCGGCGCGCCTCCCGGCGGCCGCAGTAGCCGCAAGGCACAGGCCCGCGATGCCGGCCATCCCAGCCCAGGCGCCACCGGCGGCGCCCCCGCCGTGCGTCGCCGAGGCGGCGGAGGTGCGCACCGCCACCGGCGAGGCCGCCAGGCCCCGCAGCGGCGGCCCCTGCGCGAGACGCCAGTGGGCCTCGGGCGCGGCGCCGCCCGGCGCCGCGAACGCCGCGGCGGCCGACGCTGCGAGCGCTGCGGCGACCGCGGCGGCCACAGCCAGGGGCCTCAGCCGCATCTTGTAGTCCATCGCGGCGGGCGAGATGAAGATACGGCCAGGCGGCGCGTGCGGGCGACCGGCTTGCCGTCAATGCTTGCGCCAAGACGGCAGCTTGAGCCAAAATGGCTACGGTGCATCCCTACTCCCTTCTCCTCCTCCTCCTCCTCCTCCTCCGCCTCCTCCTCCATTTCCTCCATTTCCTCCATTTCCTCCATTTCCTCCATTTCCTCCTCCTCCTCCTCCTCCTCCTCCTCCTTTTGCCTCCTCCTACAATTCCTCCTCCTCCTCCTCGTGCCTCCTCCTCCTCCTCCTCGTGCCTCCTCCTCCTCCTGCTCCTCCTTTTGCCTCCTCCTCCAATTCCTCCTCCTCCTCCTCGTGCCTCCTCCTCCTCCTCCTCCGTCTCCTCCTCCTCCTCCTCCTCCTCCTTCTCCTCCTCTTGCCTCCTCCTCCTCCTGCTCCTCCACCTTAACCTCAGATCGCGTGGGTGTGATTATTCACTGCGTGGAACTCCCCATATGCGCATCTATTCGCATGGACCTGTCCGCCGTGAATGTCTAGGCGACAGAGCTTTCGAATATAAACGGGCTTCAGTTGTGACATGACTCTAACTGAGAATGAATTGGAGTGTGAATGAGCCTCAGTAGTACGAGCGCGTCTCTGCGCATGAGCCTGGGTCCTCCTGGGGCCTCCTGAAACCTACTGGGGCTTCCTGGGGTCTCCAAGAGCCTCTTGGGGCCTCCTGGGCCCTCCTAGGGAGGTTTCGTGCCCCAGGAGAGGTCCAATCTATAGCAACAGACGTACATAAAACATTGCGGACTGGAGCCACAGGAGACGGGCAATCTATAGGAACACACGTAAAACACCAAGGACTCGTGCCCCAGGAGAGGCCCAATATATAGGAACATAAATAAAACATGTCGGATTGTGTACACATGCGTATAACATCAAGGAATCGTGCTCCAGGTGAGGCCCAATCGATAGGAGCATACGTAAAACACATGGGATTGGAGCCACTCCTGTTGCCTTCTGAGGCCTCCTGCTCCTGGGGCCTCTTGGGGCCTCCTGTTGCCTTCCGAGGCCTCGTGGCGCTTCCTGTGGACTCCTGTGGCCTCCTGTGGCTTCCTGAGGCCTTCTGGAGCTTCCTGGGACCTCCTGGAACATCGTGGGACATCTTGTGGCCTCTTGAATCTTTCTGTGGCCTGCTGATGCCTCCTGGGACCTCATGTGGTCTGCGGGGGCCTCCAGGAGCCTGTTGGAACCTCCTGTGGCATCCTGATCAGAATCTGCGCCCACGAGCCTGGCCACCAAAACAAGCAAACCGATTGAAACATCCGTCAAACCTGGCCCATGAGGGACGTGAAAATGAGCGCCTCGCTCGAAACATCCTCCAAATCTGCTCCGGCAGCGAAGGGTGTTGGGACAGAAAACAAGCAAACCGCTGGAGACATCCCCACACAACGGCCGCGAACGGGACCGTGCAATACCACTCGGCGGCTCCCCTTAGGGACATGAAAATGAGCTCGTCGCTCGAGACATCCTCCAAATCTGCTCCGACAGCGAAAGATGCTGGGACAGAAAACAAACAAACCGCTTGAGACATCCCCACAAAACGGCCGCGAACGGGACCGTGCAGTACTCCTCAGCGGCTCCCCTTAAGGACGTGAAAATGAGCGCCTCGCTCGAGACATCCTCCAAATCTGTTCCGACAGCGAAGAATATTGGAACAGAGAACAGGCAAACCGCTTGAGACATCCCCTGCAAAACCGCAGCGAACGGGACCATGCAATACCCCTCGGCGGCTCCCCCGAGGGACGTGAAAACGAACGCCTCGCTCGAGACATCCTCCAAATCTGCTCCGACAGCGAAGGGCGCTGGGACAGAAAATTACTCGACGCGGGGCTCCCCATATGTGCATCGCATTATCTTGGTATGTCTTTCTCTTGATATCTGTCAATGAGCGCCTGCGTGCGAGGGCGAACCGCTCGCTCGAGACATTCCCACAGTCTGCAAGCATGAGTGCGACCAATAGCAAATCTGAGAGCGACTGATTCTGAGTGTGAGTTAATCTGGGTGCGATTGCGCCTGGGTTTGAGTGGGTATGCGTGTGAGTAAATATGAGCGCGAGTGCGTCTGTGTGCGAGTTGGTCTGAGTATGGACGAATCTGAGTGTGAGCCAGTCTGTGATTGAGCGGATCGTAGCATGATGAGTCTGAGCATGAGTGAGTCTGGGCTTGAGTGGGTCTGAGTGTGAGAAAAAGTGTGTGTGTGTTAATGCATCTGAGTGCGATTGAGCCGAGTGCGATTGGGTATGGATGTGAGGCAGTCTGAGTGTGAGTCGGTCTGCGCTTGAGCGGACCGAAGGATGATGAGTCAGGAGCGAGTCTGAGTATGAGTGGTTCTGAGCGTGAGTCTGAGTGTAAGTTTAAGTATGGATGTGAGCGAGTCTAAGTGCGAGTGAGCCTGCGTGTGACTGGGTCTGAGTATGAGTGAGTATGAATGCAGAAGAGTGAAGGAGAGCGGAGGGCGAAGGAGAGTGAGGCGGAAGCGTTTGAGTAAAACCTAGAAAGCTTTGGAACATCGAACCTCGATCGTCTGGCCCTGGCTACTCGAGTTGCCCACGTCCTCCTCCCCCTCCTCATCCTCATCAACACCATCATCATCAGCATCCCCTTCCTGCTTCTGCTCCTACCGTGTTCATGCTGTCCTCCTTATCCTCCTCCTCCTCCTTCTCTTCCTCCTCCTCCTCGTCCTCTTCCTCCTCCTCGCTTCCTCTTCCTCGCTTCCTCCTCCTCGTTTCCTCCTCCTCCTCACCCTCCTCCTCCTCCTCCTCCTTCTCCTCCTTGGGAGCGCTGAAACCAGCAAATCGCCTGAGACATCCTCCCAAAACTGCTCCGAAAACGACAGATGCCCAGCATCATAACGGCCACACCGCCTGAGACATCCCCGCAAACTGGGCGCGAACGTCCTCCACATCTGCTCCGACAGTGAAACATGTTGGAAGAGAAAATGGCCAAACCGCCTGAGACATCCCCAGAAAATCCAGCGAACGGGACCGAGTGAGATACCACCCGCCGCCCCCCTTAGAGTGCTGAAGCCAGCGAATCGCCTGAGACATCCTCCAAATCTGTTCCGAAAGCGAAACATGTTGGAAGAGAAAAGGGCCAAATCGCCTGAGACATCCCCACAACATCCCGCGAAAGGGGCCGAATGCAACACTCCCGCGCCGCCCCCCTTAGAGTGCTGAAACCAACGAATCGCCTGAGACATCCTCCAGATCTGCTCCGAAAGCGAAACATGTTGGAAGAGAAAATGGCCAAACCGCTTGAGAGATCCCCACAAAATCCAGCGAAAGGGGCCGAGTGCAACACCCCCCCGCCGCCCCCCTTAGAGTGCTGAAGCCAGCGAATCGCCTGAGACATCCTCCAGATCTGCTCCGAAAGCGAAACATGTTGGAAGAGAAAATGGCCAAACCGCTTGAGACATCCCCACAAAATCCCGCGAAAGGGGCCGAATGCAACACCCCCCCGCCGCTCCCCTCAGGAGTCCTGAAGCCACAGAGCCGCCTGAGACATCCTCAACATCAGGGTGTGTGTGTGTGAGAGTCATCCGATGAGTGGACCTGAGTGAGTGTAGTGAATGTATGAATACAAGTACGAGTGAGTCTGAGTGATGAGTGGGTCTGAGTGATGAGTGAGTCTGAGTGATGAGTGAGTCTGAGAGATGAGTCTGGGCCATGCCTGACTCCGAGTGAGGAGTGAGTCTGAGTGATGAGTGAGACTGACTGATGAGTGGGTCAGAGTGATGAGTGAGTCTGAGTGATGAGTGAGTCTGAATGATGAGTGAGTCTGCGTGATGAGTGAATCTGAATGGGTCTGAGTGAGAGGAGTGGTGTGTTCTCGTCTGTGTTCTCCTCCGGCGCGGTCCGCCAATAACAAGAACCCCATACTTAGGATATGGGGATAAAACCAAACCGCTTGAGACATCCCCACAAAACGGCCGCGAACGGGACCGTGCAATACCCCCCACGGCTCCCCTTAGGGACGTGAAAATGCGCGCCTCGCTCGAGACATCCTCCAAATCTGCTCCGAAGCGAAGGATGTTGGGACAGAAAACAAGCAAACCGCTCGAGACACCCCCACAGAACGGCAGCGAACGGGGCGTGCGTGAGTCTCAGCATGAGTAAGTCTGAGTACGAATAGGTCTGAGTATGAGTAGGTCTGAATATGAATGATGTTGTGTGAGTGGGTCTGGGTATGAGTAAGTCTGAGTGTGAGTCAGTCTGTGTATGAGTAAGGCTGGGTATGAGGAAGAGAGGGGAGGAGAAGGAGGAGGAGAAGTCGGCGGCGTCCAAGAACTTATTCACTGCGTGGAGCTCCCCATATGTGCATCTATTCGCATGGACCTGTCCGCCGTGAATGTCTAGGCGCAAGAGCTTTCGAATATGAACAAGCTTCAGTTGTGACGGTCTGGTCATGAATCTAACTGAGAATGAATTGGAGTGTGAACGAGCCTCAGTAGTACGAGCGCGTCTCTGCGCATGAGCCTGGGTCCTCCTGGGGCCTCCTGGGGCCTCCTGAAATCTACTGGGGCTTCCTGGGGCCTCCAGGAGCCTCTTGGGGCCTCCTGGGGCCTCCTGGGACCTCCTAGGGAGGATTCGCGCCCCAGGAGAGGCCCAATCTATAGCAACAGACGTACATAAAACATTGCGGATTGGAGCCACAGGAGAAGGGGGCAATCTATAGGAACACACGTAAAACACCAGGGACTCGTGCCCCAGGAGAGGCCCTATAGGAACATCAGTACACAGGAGAAGGACAATCTACAGAAACATACGTATAACATCAAGGATTCGTGCTCCAGGTGAGGCCCAATCTATAGGAGCATACGTAAAACACATGGGATTGAAGCCACTCCTGTTGCCTTCTGAGGCCTCCTGCTACTGAGGCCTCTCGGGGCCTCCTGTTGCCTTCCAAGACCTCCTGGCGCTTCTTCTGGTCTCCTGGGGCCTCCTGTGGCTTCCTGAGGCCTCCCGGAGCTTCCTGGGGCCTCCTAGAGCCTCTTGGGACATCCTGTGGCCTCTTGAATCTTTATGTGGCCTCCTGATGCCTCCTGAGACCTCATGTGGTCTCCTGGGGCCTCCTGGAGCCTGTTGGAGCCTCCTGTGGCATCATGAGGAGAATATGTGCCCACGAGTCTGGCAACCGATCGAGACATCCTCAAAATCTGGCCCACCTGGGGGGTGAAAAGGAGCGCCTCGCTCGAGACATCCTCCAATGTTGCTCCGAAAGCGAAGGATGCTGGGACAGAAAACAAGTAAACCGCTTGAGACATACCCACAAAACGGCTGCGAACGGGACCGTGAGATAACCCCTGGCGGCCTCCCCTTACGGTGGTGAAAATGAGCGCCTCGCTCGAGACATCCTCCAAATCTGCTCCGAAAGCGAAGGATGCTGGGACAGAAAACAAGCAAACCGCTAAGACATCCCCACAAAACGGCCGCGAACGGGACCGTGAGATAACCCCTGGCGGCCTCCCCTTAGGGAGGTGAAAATGAGCGCCTCGCTTGAGACATCCTCCAAATCAGCTCCGAAAGCAAAGGATGCTGGGACAGAAAACCAGCAAACCGCTTGAGACATCCCCACAAAAACGGCCGCGAACGGGACCGTGAGATGACCCCTGGCGGCTCCCCTTGGGGGGGTGAAAAGGAGCGCCTCGCTCGAGACATTCTCCAAATCTGCTGCGAAAGCGAAGGATGCTGGGACAGAAAACAAGCAAACCGCTTGAGACATACCCACAAAACGGCTGCGAACGGGACCGTGAGATAACCCCTGGCGGCCTCGCCTTAGGGGGGTGAACATGAGCGCCTCGCTTGAGACATCCTCCAAATCTGATCCGAAAGCGAAGGATTCTGGGACAGAAAATACGCAAACCGCTTGAGACATCCCCACAAAACGGCCGCGAACGGGACCGTGAGATAATCCCTGGCGGCTCCCGGGGGAGCTGAAACCAGCGCCCCGCCTGAGACATCCTCACGATCTGCTCTGGTAGCCAAGGATGTTGGGACAGAAAACAAGCAAACCGCTTGAGGCATCCCCACAAAACGGCCGCGAACGGGGCGTGCGTGAGTCTCACCATGAGTAAGTCTGGGTGGGAGTAGGTCTGAGTATGAGTAGGCCTGAGAAAAAGTAATTTTGTGTATGAGTAAGTCTGGGTATGAGTAAGTCTGAGTGTGAGTCAGTCTGTGTATGAGTAAGTCTGGGTATGAGGAGGAGAGGGGAGGATAAGGAGAAGGAGGAGGAGGAGTAGGAGGCGTCCAAATAATAACAATAACCCCATCTTAGGATATGGGGAATAACAAGAATCCCATCTTACGATATGGGGAAGCACGTGGGTGCAAGAGTACACAAGGTGGTGCAGATGGGAGGAGGAGGGAGGATGGGTGAGGGGGGGTTAGGGGGGAGGACCTTCCTCTCCACCTTTCCCTCGCCCTCCTCGCCCTCCTCAAGGCCAGACCCGTCCTCGCGTTGTACGACTTCGCCCCAGAGGCGGCGCCGACCAGGTCGTTGGGCTTCGCCTCCCTGCCGGTCTGCTCGTCGGTCTTCTCCTGCCCTCGACGGCCCTTGCGATCTTCTTAGCAATGCGCCCAGTCCTTCGTGTGGCCGCAAGCCACCACACGGTCAACACATGCAGTGCGTGGGACACTCAGCACTTCTAGCATCAGGCTGCGTCCCAGATGCATCCCACTGCAACGCGAAGGTGGCGGCCATGTTTGTTGTTGTTGGCGGCGCGCCAAGCATGCCCCTCCTATCCTCTTCTCTCGTCATCATCCCTCCGCTTCCTTTCATACGTCACATCACTCCTTTCATCCCGCCCCCTCTTTCCTACATCCCAACTCCACCTCCTCCGAGCATCGTCCTCCATCCCCCATCCCTCCTTTCGTCCCTCGTATCCTTTTGCTCCCCCTTCTACTGGTCCCCCTCCTCTTCCCCTCCTCCCCCTCGTCCTCCTCCTTCTTCTCCCCCAATCCCCTCCTCCTCCTTCTCCTGCTCCTCCTCCTCCTCCTCCTCCTCCTCCTCCTCTTCCGCATCCTCATCATCATCATCATCATCATCATCATCATCATCATCACCATCATCATCACAAACACCATCATCATCATCATCATCATCATCATCATCATCAGCATCATCATCATCATCATCATCATCATCATCATCATCATTATCATCATCATCATCAGCAGCAACAGCAGCAGCAGCAACATCATCATCACCGGCATCGACAACCTCAATATCATCAGCACTATCATCACCATCACCATTTCACCATTTCATCATCGGCATCATCATCACCCGCATCCCCATCATCATCACCATCATCATATTCAGCATCATCATGATCGTCACCCCCATCACCATCATCATCATCATCATCATCATCATCATCATCATCATCATCATCATCATTACCACCCCCACCATCATCAACATTCCCACCCCATCCGCAACAGCATCATCGTCATCCTCAGCATGTGCATCATTATCATCGCCATCATAAACCTCAGCGTCTGCATCCTCATCATCGTCATCATCACCACCATTATCATTATCATTATCATTATCATTTTCATTTTCAACAACAACAACAACAACAACAACAACAACAACAACAACAATCTCATCGCCGTCATCCCCGTCATCATCCTTCCCCTCCTCCTGGCCCCCCACCCATCCTGCGCCTCCACCCTCGTCCTCATCATGCCTCCCCTGCTCCCTGGTCACGCTGCCCCCCCCCTCCCCAAAGCCCCCTCCCACGGCAGCAAGCGGCGCTGCGCCAGGGCCACGGCCTGGTGGCGGGTCGTCGTCGTGGTGGTAACGGCAGGGGGGGGAGGGGAGGGAGGGAGGGAAATCTGTATTTTCTGAACCTCCACGGCTGGATGCCCCCGGATGAAAAGGGGACCGTGCCGGGCAGAGCAAAACGCAGCGTGACTCCCCGCGCTCGCGGACTCCAAGTCCGCGAACGCAAGAGTCATAACCAATTGGCCACAGCGAGAGTACCCCCCCCAACAAACAAACGACGGCCGCTCGTGGACTCGTTTCCTGCACAGCTCCTCGAAGCGCCCAAAGCAGGAGACTGACGAGGGCGAGCTACATGCCGCAGTCCGTTTGTCGAGCCGCGTCCAGGCTCAGATAACGACACGCCTCCCTGGCCGCGCCGCCCCGAGCTGCCCGAGGGGCACCACGCCCTCGGGCGACCCCACACCTCCACGCACGCCAGGGCGGGGCACCCTGGCCGTGGGGAGGATGGGCGCGGGATCCCCCAGAAGCCCCCCGCAGGGGAGCCGCCTCCCGCCAAGGCGCACGCGGGGCACGCGCCGGGCCACCGCAAGGGGAGACAAGGCGACGAGGGAGCAATTGTATTTCCCCCTGGTCTCCAAAGAGCAAAAACGGCTGCTGCCCGCCTGTTCTCTTGGGAAGGGGGCCCAATTGCACAGGTGCCGGGAGGGAGGGAAGGAGGGAAAGAGGAACAGAAGGGGGACCAGTTCAAACCCAACACGCATCGACGATGTTGCAATAGACCCTCGCTCCAAATTCCCGCTTCATAGACTCCTATAAAAATTGCTTTCACTGCGGGGAAAACCCTGTTGGAGGACAACCGTCTGAAACCTTCAACCGTGCCACTGCACTGATCATTGGACTTCAACGCTGCGAATCAACACAACTGTTGCGACCTGACGACCCCCAATTGTGAGAAAACACCAGTTCTGGCACGTCAACACCGCAAATCAACGTGACTGTCGAGCCCTGGCAATCCTAAATCGTGCCATAACACAATTTCTGCGACCTCAATGATAAAACATTGAAGCTGCTGTAAACTGTCACGACCAATGCGCGCGGCGCTAAGGCCAAAACCACATGTTGAAAAAGAACCGCCCTCTATCCGTGGAACCTTGCAAACTTGTGCGACGAATGTGTGCGGCGTTCAGGCGAGAAGCACATGTTGAACACCGCACGCCGTACACCCGTGAAGCTCTTGCAAGCCTTTAAAACAAATGTGCGCGGCGCTAAAGCGATACTCACAATTTGAAAATTGCCCTTCCTCCATCCGTGAAGCTACCATTGATAATTACAAGATTCAGGATACTAAGTGGTGAGGAAATCTCAAGCGAAACGACTGGCCTGCCCTACAGATTCGTCTCGGGGTGCGACAGGAAGGAGTTATTCATAAGGGCGAGGGATGGAGGAGGTAGGGGAGGAGGAGAATGAGGGGCAGCAGCAGTAGGAGGACAGCGTCACCATCGCAGGGACGAGGAGGAGAGGGAAAGAAAGGAGGAGGAGGAGAAGGAGGAGGAGAGGAAAGGAAGAGGAAGGAGGCGGAATAAGAGAAGGACGGAAGAGAGGGACAATCCGGTACATTCTTTCAAATCCAATCAGCTACGGTGTAGCTGAAAGCCTTCCGTTCTGGGGGACGAGGACGAGGAGGAGAAGTGAATTGGGGGAGCAGGAATAGGAGGATTAGAACTACGATGTCAGGGCGAAAGGAAAGGGAGTGAGGATAATGGCAGGGAAGTGCGAGTAATGAGTGAAGGAAAGCGAGGATGATGAGGAGGTGAGGAGAAGAGCGCAAATTGAAACACCCTAGTAGCGTAGTAGCGAGTGTGGAGGAAACGAGGAGGAAGGGACGAGGAAATGAGGATCAATAGCAAGGGAAGGAGAAGAGGAGTCGGATGAGAAAGAAACGAGGAGGAAGAGGAGGAGAAGGAGGAAGGGAGAATCACGGACAACGAAATGAGCAGGGAGGAGAAGGGGGATGAAGAAATGCGGATCAAAAGAAAATGAAAGGCGGCAGACCAAGTGAGAAAGAAGGGGACGAAGAGAACTACGATGGGGAACGTAGAAAATAAGACACGCATGAAATGAGAAGGGTCAAGGGGATAATAATATCCGAGAAACGGCCAGGCATTCCCGACAGACGATGCTGCCGAGAACGAACCATGGCAACAACGGATGACGGCGACGACAACGGACAAAGGACGGCGAAGGCAAGGGCGGACGATGACGACGACAAGGATGGCGACGGACGGAAAGCCACGACGACTGACCAGCGACGACCCACCGATGTCGACCGACGCCCGCCCGAGCGACCGATCGACCGACCACGACGACAACGATGAGGACGACGACGACGACAACGACGACGGAGGACCGACGACGACGACGACGACGACGACGACGGAGGACCGACGACGACGACGACGACAACACGCGATCTGCCGACGACGGCGGCGACGGCGGCGACGAGCGCGGCCGTCGGACCGTGGCCTCCCGGGCGGCCCTCGGGCCGGGCGCCGCGCCGCCCCGCGTGGAGGCGCGGGCGGGCGCGAGCTGCTGCAGCGAGCCGAGGACGTCGTAGAGGTCCTCGGGAGGGGGGGGGGACGACTGGCTCCATCGGCCCCCCTCCTCCTCCCCCTCCCTCCCCTCCCTCCCTCCCTCCCTCCCTCCCCTCCCTTCCTCCTCCTCCTCCTCCTCCTCCTCCTCCTCCTCCTCCTTCTGCTCCTCCTCCTCCTCCTCCCCTCCTCCTCCTCCTCCTCCTCCTCCTCCTCCTCCTCCTCCTCCTCCTCCTCCTCCTCCTCCTCCTCCTCCTCCTCCTCCTCCTCCCCTCCTCCTTCTCCTCCCTCCTCCTCCTCCTCCTCCTCCTCCTCCTCCTCCTCCTCCCCCTCCTCCTCGTCCTTGTCCTCGTCCCCCTCCGCGCCACCCGTTTCGGGACGGCGGAGGCCATCCCGAGACGGACGGCGCGGTGGTGTTTCAGCGCCCGCAGTTCCGGGACTCGACGGTGGATGCTCGCCAGCGCTTGCACTGCCCACCAGGCCACCAGACACGGCTTCTTCTGGTTCCAAGTGAAAAGAGCTCCGTGCCCACGACTCGCTGTCAGTGCGCATGCGGCCAAGCCCATGGGGGGGAGGGGGGGGAAGGGAGGGGGGGGAAGGAGGGGGGGGAAGTGAGGGGGGGGGGAAGGGAGGGGGGGGGAAGGGAGGGGGGGGAAAGGGCGGGGGGGGGGGGAGGGACAAGGGGGGGCGAACAGCAGAAGCAGGACCCTCGGGTCCCACCCCTACCGTGCCGGCGGGGCCTGCTGTGGCCCCAGGGGCCGTCGCCCCAAAGGCCTCTCCGCGGCCTCGTGCTGGCCCGTCCACGGACGCTTCAAGTCTGCCCCGTGCTCTGGCCCGGCGGCCCCTGCCTCCACGGGGCCCTGCTGCCGACGCTGCTGCCGGGGGGCGGAGGGAGGGAGGGAGCGTGCGGAAGGGGGGGAGAAGGGGGAGGCGGGAGGGGGGCGGGCAGCGGGGCGAAGGGCAAGGCGGGGGGAGGATGGTGGAGATGGGCGGAGGGAGGCGCGGCGGGGACCAACGCAGGAGGGATGAGCTGAGAATCGTGCAGCACCTCTCCGCGCGGCGTGGGACGCCCTCCGTCGCCGCCGCAGCCGCCACCATCGCCACCGTCGTCGTCACCGCCCTCGTCGTAAGCGTTCCCGCAGCCGCCACTGGTCGTCACCGTCGTCGTCTTCGTCGAACGTCGTCGCCTTCTCTATCGATCAACTCGCTGGCGTCTACCCGGCGTGCACAAGACTCTTGTAAGACGAAGCCAGGACGAGGATAACATCGGATGAGGACAAATTGAATCTCTGAGATCTGGCGGCTCTGAAGGATGTCTCGGGCGCCGTGGCCTTCTCAGAGCGTTCCGGAACGCTCTAAGAGCGTTCTGGAACGCTCTGGAACGAACTTATCCTCGTCCTTGCCCCGTCCGATCTTGCCCCCCCTCCCACAACCCCTCCCTGAAGAGCCTGTTCAAGCCGGCTCGGAGGGAGAGGGGTGCTCAAGGTCCAGCAGCCTCGGATGCCCCAGAGCGGGGACCAAACGTCAGGACCTCTTCCTTCTCACCGACGCCCTCCAAATGGGGTCGGAGGATTGCGCCGCATCGCCAACACATCGGCGATGCATCGGCGATGCATCGGAAATGCACCGGCGATGCACCGGCGATGCACCAGCCATGCATCGTCGGCGGTGCATCGGCGACGCCGACATGAAGCAAATCGAGCTCCGCATCGAGCCGCATCGCCGATGCATCGACGATGCGGCGCGCTCCTCCGACCCCATCTGCTCCGACCCCACCTCTTGCCATCGCTCTGACGTCCATTCCCTGTGTTTTTGTTCGGTTTCGTGCGTGGTTTTTTCGCCAAATGATCAAGGATGCTCCTCGATGGTCCTCGCCGAAGGAAAAATGCACACGTCCGAGCGATGCCAAGACCTGGGAAGCCTGGACTTTGGGGCTGTATTTTATTATTCCGATGAGTCCGAGCCCCTGGCGTGAACGTCCGCCCTGACCTCCCTCCCCCGCTCCCACTCCCCCTCCCTCGGGTCTCCTGCTGCATCGTGCTGCGGAACCTCGGCGAGCTGCTCTTCACGGCCCTGCTCCGCACCTCGCCGGGTCCAGGAACGGGGGGCCCTCGCGGCAAAGGGCTTCAGCTGGCCCTCCTATCTGGGCGCCGTGCAGCACTCCAGACGCAGGGGGGGCGCCAACCGAACGGCGACGCCCAGGGAATCCGAAGCCGCGTCGGGTCCAGGAGAGCGGACGGCAGCCCTCGCAGCAGTTGGCTCCAGATGGCCCTGATATCGGGGCGCCGCGCAACACACGAGACCAGGAGGAGGAGGAGGAGGACGAGGAAGAGGAGGAGGAGGAGGAGGAGGAGGAGGAGGAAAAGGAAGAAGAGGAGGACGAGGAGAAGGAGGAAGAGGGGGAACGGAGGAGGAGGAGGAGGAGGAGGGGAGGAGGAGGAGAGAGGGAGGAGGAGGAGGAGGAGGAGGAGGAGGAGGAGGAGAGGAGAGAAGGAGGAGGAGGAGGAGGAGGAGGGGAGGAGGAGGAGAGGAGGAGGAGAAGGAGAAGGAGGAGGAGGGGAGGAGCGGGAGGAGGAGGAGGTAGGAGGGAGGAGGAGGAGGTAAGGAAGGGAGGAGGAGGAGGAGGAGGAGGAGGGGGGAGGCGGCGGAGGAACTGGAAGAGGAGAGGAGGAGGATCAAAAGGAAGAGGAGGAGGAGGAAAAGAGGAAAGGAGGGCGGAGGGGAGGAGGAGGAGGAGGAAGGAGAAGGAGGAGGAGGAGAGAGGAGGATCAGAAGGAAAAGGAGAGGAGGAGGAGGAGGAGGAGGAGGGAGGGGAGGAAAGAGAAGGTAGGAGGAGGAGGAGGAGGAGGAGGAGGAGCAGGAGAGCGGAGGATGAGGAGATGGAGGAGGAGGGAAGAGGAGGAAGGAGGGGAGGAAGGAGAGAGGGGCGGATGAGGGAAGGGGGAGGAAAGAGGTGGGAAGGAGGAGGAGGAGGAAGAGGAGGAGGCGGGGAAGGGGGAGGTGGTGGAGGAGGAGGAGGAGGAGGAGGAGCAGGAGGCTGAGGAGGCGGAGGAGGAGGAGGAGGCGACGGCGGCGGCGGCGAAAGTGTGTCGGGTCAGACATCGAACGGGGATCGAAACAGCCACGTGTCCAAATTCCCTCGGAAGACGTGCGACCTACCGTGCACCCTGGGAGCGAACGAAGCACGGCCCCACGTCGGGAGCCTCGCATGGAATTCCCGCTCAACCACGAAACGCACTCGGAACGACGACCCCGGGGGGGATAGCATCCTTCCGCGAGAGACAATCGCCGCGTCCCCCACCCCCCGCAAGCGGGAGGGGGAGCCGCGACGTTCACCAGCACGCAGAACGACGCCGCCCCCCGAGGGGGGGAGGAGAGGCCGAAGCCCAGATGGAACGGGAAAGGAAAGAGAAGCGGAAAGACGAACGACGACACGACGACGAGGACGACGGGAGACGACAGCAGGGCCCAGGTCATCCCACAACAACAAAAGGTCCAGCCCCAGAGGGTTGATCGAGTAAAAAGTCTAGCCAGCTCCTTGAAGCTATACTGCAGATGTTCCCGCTGACGGGGTGCTGCGCTGGCCTCGCTCCGCTCACCAGAGGCTTAACCTGTCATATCAGCGTTGGCCCCAAGACAAGCGAATGTAGGTCCTGGCGCTCGGTCCTCTCTGGCAGTTTGTCGAGGGCTGGCGGCGCGCATGTGGTTGATATATCCAGGCATCGGCGTCGTCATCACATCCCTTCGAACACGTCGATCGCTATCTAAAGAATATCGGCGTTGGAACGCGGAGCGACCCCCTCCATCAGCTACGCCCCCAATTTAATGGCGCAATAGAGAGAAAAACAACTTCTGCATTGACTGGTCGGACAGCGAGACTGTCAGTTTGGCCTGATTCTCTTCGAAGGGCGAACTCGCCCGAAACCCGCGCACGAGGGTGGCCAGCTCTCTCTGGTCGGCGATGGCGCCCAGTTCCTGCTTGATCACTTCCCAAGCCGCTTTGTTTCGGGCCCCGACCTCGTCTCCCTCTTTGGCGTTCTGATCTGCCGCGACCATTAATATCTGAGCGCAGGCGGGGCCCGCGCGAACCTCGGGAAGTGGCGCCCGCGGGCCGTTGGCGCGAGCCCCCCTCGTGGCCGCGACGGCGGTCGCATATGCTCGCCCCGCCTGGAAGGCGGCCTCGGCTACCGCGCCGCCCTCGGGAAGTAGGACGGCCAAGAACTCCGCCGCCGCAAGAAACCGCAGTTGGAAAGTGCTCCCGGGGACAACCTTAGCGAGATTTGGCATCAGTCGCGTCATCAACTGCACCACCATGCTGGGAAGCTTCTGCAACGTGTCGGGGGCCAGGCTACAATGCTTGCTGAGAGCCGCCATGACGTCCTGAGCCCCTCCCGCTGCCGAGCCTGCCGCTGCCGATCCTGCTGCTCGGGCGGCGGCAGGCGCGCGCTGAAGCCGGCCCGGGCCTCTGCGCCGTCCTCCGCGCTGGTGGGATGCAGCAGTCGATCCACTGCGGCCGCGCTGCCGTGGAGGCCCTCCCCCACTGCCCTCGGACCGAGAGGGCGCCTGCTCGAGCTGCTCGGAGCTCAATCTGAACGCGTCGAGACTGAGGCGCGGGGGCGTGGATGGCCAGATGCTGGCGCAGCTCGTCAAGAGTGGGGAATGCCGAATCCCTCGAGCAACTCGGCTATGCATTGCGACCACCAGAGATAGAAGCAGACGAGATCGTCGACAAAGAGCATTCCAAGTCGTCTGGCATCTGAACCGCGCGGTGATAAACAGTCGTCACAGGGCACCGTTTCTGTATGACTGCACGCACTGGACGTTCTTGTGTTATGCGCCTAGTGCGGGATGTCTGTCTGCAGTATACGCATTGATTACTCGCAGATATAGAGTGCACCACTGATCGCTCATGGCGCCCTCCAGCCCGCGAGGCCCCCTGATGCTCCAAGAGAGCCCTTTTCGTCGAAAACTCCCGCCCACAGACAATGCCCAACGGGCCCGACAGTTTGCACTTCCGCGGGGCCGGCGCCAGCGGGGGTGGCGGGACTTCCGAGGCCTCCGAGGTAGGGCGAAGTGCGTAGAGACCACGAGGAAGAGGGATGACAACCGTCATCGCAGCAGCCCGCAGCACACGCGGGTCAATCCGCAAGAATCTGCCCCGCGCCCCGGGGTCGGAAAACAACGCGCGAACACATCGGCGGAGCGCATATGGTGTCGGAGGCTCGCGCGCAGAGTTCCCCTTGGAACTCGCCCTCCTCTGCGCGACGCAACAGGCGGATGACTTCTACTGCAAACCTCCATGCGCACGGGTTCGCGTCCGCTGCAATGGCCCCGCCAGGCGTGATAGTCGGAGTTGGCTCCGCTGGTGGATGACCAAACGCAGCACCTATTTCTTGGGCATGGCGGCGCGGGTGGCGCAGCCATCGTGGATGAGCCCCAAGCCGTCGCGCGCGCAATTCTGCACCCGCGGGGGCCACTCCAAATCGTCGCAAAGCCTGTTCGTCCGCGAACGCTCGGCACTGAAGACACGGCTTCCCGTCTGCATCCGATCGCGGCAAGCCCTCGGGACCCAGGACCTCAGTTTTTCCTTGGGGGGCAGGCGTCACCTCCGAGTTGTTTCCGACAGAACCCCACCCGCACGCGATCCAACATGTTTCTTGTAGCCAGTCAGAAGAGCCCCCTGGACCACGGCCCAGAAGACGGTCCTCGTGAAGCTCCAGACCCTGCTCCGTGCCCACACCTTCCCCATGGCATGATAGCGTCGCCTGCGCGAGAGAACTCGACGTCGCAGCGCCGCCTGCACCGCGCAATCGACCGACGCGGCGATGCCTAGAGACACCGCGACAGGAACGGGACCCCCGAAGAGAGCGCGCGAGTGCCCATGTGCCCCAGGTCCCACAAGGCTGGGTGCCACGGTACTTCTGTCAGCACTGTGCTCATTGCAACCTGGATCCACGTTTCCACGAAGCCGCTGATGAGCGATGCCCAAGGTACGTTGCGCATGCAACGCCGACGACGCAACGCGCGCCACGTTGGTGCCATCACCATAAGTTCGGCAAGCCAAAGACACTGGCCGTTGCAAGAACCGCGTCTGCGCTGTGCACATGTCCTCCGCAGGCCACGCGCCATCGTCGAGATTGCGAGGCGGCAGAGGTGGGGCGAGAGGGCAGGATATCCATTCGATGTAGTTCGTCGGCCGATAGGGGGGGGGGGGGGGGGGGCAACCCGCCCCCGCATGCATGCCGGCGCAAAGTGCCCAGCCAGGCCTGCATGGGCTTCCGAAGTGCACGGAAACAACGCAAACGCAAGGCTATCGCCCATGCGCGCGCCACAACGATTCCGCAAGGCGCGCTCGCCTTCCGCCGTCTGCACAAAGAAACTACTGGTACCATCCCGTAGGTTATTTAAAATACAGCTGAGGGTCCAGGTCGACGGAAGCCTGCGCGGCATCCCGGAGAGCCTCGAAGGTGGAGCGCCCAAATGCAGAGAATTGGACATGTCCTTTTGGGACGCGAGCACAGATGGGCTCTGCTGTCGGAGCCTCCAAGAAAGCGCCTCCTGGGCCACGAGGGCCCCTTCGCGATTCCGGCTGGGCGGGTGCACGCGTTCCCTGTCGCGGGGCTCGTCGGGGGGGGCCTGCAGCAGCGGGGCCGTCGTGCCGCGCCGCGCGCGTGCGACGCGGCCCGCGAATGCATCGTCGAGCCTGAAAACCCTCCTTCCCGTCGGCTTTGCTGAGCACCGTAGCCCTCGAGCGGCGCCGGACCAAAGGGGCCCGCGGCGCGTCGGATCCGGCGACGAGACCTGCTGGAGCCGCTGCAACGAGACCACGTTCGCATTCGGTTGAGCCTCAGGATCAGCCCTAAGACCCCGACGATCACCCCCAAGGCCCAAGACGGCGCCGAGGGGCAGGGCGAGGCGCGTCGCGGCGTCGAGGAGGTGGGTGGGGGCCATCATCATCACCGTCATCACCTTTGATTTTCTCGTTGCTGTCGTCGTCTTGGTCGTCGATGCGACCCGTCGCGCCGTCGAACGGGGTCGAGCACCAGTTGCAGCAGTTATGATGGCACCCTGTGCGTCGGGGCAA